AAAAAAAAAAAGAAAAAGTGAAAGTTTTACGAGAAATCATTGAGATCATAAAATTCGATGAAGAATTTTTTCTATCACGAATTGATGATCCAGACCACGTAGTGTTCTTTGAATCTTTCAATTCACAACTCTTTCTTTTTTTTTTTTTATGTCAAAAATACGTGATTCAATACTATTTAAGAAATGCTACGACTTTTAAACGCGATCACTGGATATATATTAAAACAATGTTCGATCAACAATAATGATCGATCGAAGAGTTTAATCTAACGGCGATTGAAATTAATATTACGCCGTTATCATGTTTCATGCAACGCTCGATCCGTATTGTTTTCAATTGCCACAACTTAATGTTACACGAGTTAATAATGTCTCCTTGTTATTTCAACTCTGTTATTGAATTCGAACTGGAGATAAAAGAGGCAGAGAATAGAGAAATTTATTTATGGCTGGGGATTTTCCTACGTCTTCGTCTCGCGTTCAATGAGTGTGAGTAAGTATTGAATGAGAGAAGTGAATTGAGTGTTACGGGAAGCATAGTTGATTCGAAAAGGGGAGAGATAGAGAGCTTTGCTGAGTCAAGAAGAATCGCTGTAATGATATACAGTGAGTCATTGAAGTCTATTGAAGTAATAATTAGATTTGTAATTTTTCATTGTAACGGTGATATATAATGTATGCTGTTACATTATTTGATAGAGTCAAGTAAAATATAATTTCGAGGTGAATTACTTTCCAATCGAAATAAAAAGAAATTCGAGAGATTCGTAGAGAGAAATATAGAATATAAAATCAATTGATTGATTAATTGTAGCAGGAGGATTTTAACGAGAGTTGGTAAAACAAAATTAAAAAAAAAAAGCTGAAAATTAATTGTCAGATATAAAATTACAATTGTTAAAGAGTAGTGATGAAATTAAAAGTTAAAGAAAAATTGAGAAATAAAAATCTAACCAATGGACTTTAATAACTAAACGACCTAAACGTATCGTTCTTTCTCATTTATTTCTGCGTTACGTGTGTATTCATAATAATTCAATAAATCATATTTTTTTGAAAAAAAACATAGAAACCACACGAGACGACTAATTAACAAGCACAGAATGGAGAACGCAAAGGAAGAAACAATAAATATGCAGCTGCTTGGTTCCGACAGTCCGTACAAGTACGTCTGATTCTACTTCGCACGAGTCTCACCGCTCAAAAGTCTTACAACACTTTTCATTTTCAGTAATTAATGGTATTCAGTAATTTATTTTATGGTATAGTACAATTTTTTCTTTTTTTTCTTTGCACTTTGCATTTTACAGCGCAACTGTCAATACAATAACAGATCTTATAGATCCTTTGTTACATTTAATTTTTCCAACTTTCAAACAAACGTATAGTATGGTGTTCTAAAACTCTTGAGCGAGGATGTATCTCATCGACACGAGAAAGAATTATTATACAGAGATGATATTTGAAATTTCGCGGCACGTATCGTTTGGAAATTCGATAAATAAACGCACGCGGACGTGAATTGCATTTGCAAATTGATGCGGTTGCAGAGTTAATAATGAAATCGCCGGAAGTGGTCTAAATGCATCGGAAGTTCCAATATCGCCGACCACAAACCCAGAAGACTACGACCCCCATAAACATCGAAATAGGCCAAATCCGACGTCGTGAGTATCTGAAAATATTTGCCAAACGTATCGTCGTTTTGCTATTTTAATTATTTCTAACAGAGAGTACTTGTCCTAGAAAAAAAAAAAAAAAGAAAAAAAAAAGAAAAGAAAAATCGACATCCATCTCTATTTCATTTACACTCTAATTTCTAACAGTTTGTTCCGACAAAGACGAATAAAGTTCGTCGATGGAGTGCAAAATATCAAATATTGAATATCAATCTTTAACTTCAATATTCAACATCGCAAAATATACGTAGTTACACAAAAGATTGGAATCGAATGCAAAAACTATTCCAGTTAACACGTTCCGTGCCATGTGTACCACCGATGGTACACACACTCAATGTTTATTTAATTTATTTATTTTTTGCAATCGAACTGATCGCAGCGCCACAAGTGGTACACGATGTCATAGCTACTCATAGCTA